TTCTCGCAGTTTGATTGGTTCTTACTTATGGTCTATTGGAGGACAGACGCATAGATGACGACGTAAGCATTTTGTTTTTGTTTTTTCAGTTATTACATAAAACAAATAGATTCCACCTTGCCGTGCGTCTGTTCAGTAATATATCACAGCAGACGTCAAAATGTAGTAAGAACATCAGTGACGCACTCGGCTAACATGGAATCTATCTGTTAAATACGTATATAGAACGTTTCTACATGATGTCGTGGAAGCAATATTGGTATCCCGAAACAATGGAATTCATGTCCTTTGGAAAATGATTTCATTTTTGAAATAAAAATAACCTATTGTTTGGGAACCATGAACATTGCAACAACAAACTCTCTACTGATNCTGAGAATAAAACACGAAATTGCATGGATATTTGTTCTCGCAGTTTGATTGGTTCTTACTTATGGTCTATCGGAGGACAGACGCATAGATGACGACGTAAGCATTTTGTTCTTGTTTTTTCAGTTATTACATAAAACAAATGGATTCCATGTTGCCGAGCGTCTGTTCAGTAATATATCACAGCACACGTCAAATTTTGGTAAGAACATCAGTGACGCACTTTGCTAACATGGAATCTATCTGTTAAATATGTATATAGAATGTTTCTACATAATGTCGCGGAAGCAATATTGGTATCGCGAAACAATGGAATTTATGTCCTTTGGAAAATGATTTCATTTTTGAAATAAAAATAACCTATTGTTTGGGAACCATGAACATTGCAACAACAAACTCTCTACTGATAAGTGAACTGAAAGATGGTGAATTTTAAGCGTGGTAATGAAATGTGAAAGGTGATCTGATCAACACGACACGAGCGTGGAACAAAGAAAAAAATTCTGTCGGGAACTCAGATTTTTTCTTTGTCCCATGCTCGTGTCATGTTGATCAATTCATCTTTCAAACTCTCCCCTGTTACATATTTTCCTACTAAGTAATATAAAGATAATATGTAGATGCAAAACGTGGGAGCAGGAAGCACCAAGTTCAAAACTGACAGGCTTAAGCCATCACTTTACTGATGTTAGCATGCTTTCAAGACGACAAACAAATGAAAGGATCCGCTTCAAGCTTTTAGTCGGAGAAACTGTAGCTCTTAAACCTATGTAGCTGGCAGGATTTTGTACTCGAATGGTTTGTTTTGGTGGAGGAGCTATGAACACTTGAGGACATTTGAACTTGCCCACTCCTACTTATTAGATACTCCTCTCCTGAAAAACAAATCTCTCCATCTACACAGGCTTCAGCTATTTGAACTATTTACCACAGCTCCTCTAGCGCCACTGAATCCCATAGCGCCCGGTTGGCCTTGTTGTCCCTGTCATGATATTAAACAAGTTTAGCATCACATGAAAATAGAAACAGGATTGATATTAAATCACGAAAAGATGGCAAGCTCTGCTTGCGACACAGTCTAACACACTACCCATAAACTACCGCTTATAAGCCCAGGGCTTATACAACTTTGTAAGGGCTTCTAGATGGTCTTATATCCAAGGGGCTTCTTAGCGGAATAAAAAACCAAACGTTTCAAAATGAACTATAGCAGTGTTGATCGAGATACGTTTTCACCTACTGGTTTTCAATTAAAGGAGCTCAATCACGGTTTGCGCATCTTGAAAAGTTCAGCCTCAATATTTCAAATTAGTCGTTTTTAATCCGTGTCAATCTTCTCCATCCTTAGCCATCCTTGTTCCTTTATGGTTTATCATTATCTCCTTGGTGTTTTTCTATCTTATAAAACTGCTATTTTCAGGTTTCCTACCATTCAAAAGTTAATTTTGTATGTGGCCAAAATAACTCAAAATACCGCGACTGAGCCCCTTTAAGCTTTAAAACATCATAATATATTGAATTCATTTCATCTTAAACTAGAGGGGGTTTTATATCCGGGAAGACTTATACATGTAATCGGGCGTAATATTTTGTTTACAGGTAGCTAGGCTTATAACCGAGGGGGGGAGGGGGGGCAATAAGCGGTCGTTTACGGTATAAGGGATGCATGAGTGACAGCTGCTTGTATAATACTTACAGCCATCCCGGCAGAGCCAGGTCGACCATCATCACCAGATTGGCCCTGAAAACAGCAAAAACAATTACCCAACTGGTTTACAACGTAGGGTCTCCACACACAAACTTGATTTTGAACCTAACCTAAGCACAAACACCAAACACAAAGCAATAAAGATCAAAATGGCTTTGAAGCCAGCTCGAGATATTTTAAAGGGGTCAAAAAGATTTTCAGAAGTTTGTATGATAAGTGGCACAGCATAAACTTTACTGAAAACAATCATTAATTTAAAAAAACGGACTGTGTTACATACATGTTCACAGTACTTCATAATGAACTTAATTTCTATCAAATGAGGCCAAATTGACATTTAATTTTACGTCTCGTCGCCTTTGAAATTACACTAGCGAGTCGAGGGCTATTTAAAATAAAAGAAACTACCGAAGTTAAGTTTGTGAAAAGTTGAGAGTAGTTTTAAGTAAAGAACTTGGAAAAGTTACGCCTTTCTTCATTCAAGATTTGCCATTCACTCGACGTGCAGGCAGGAACTTCCAACCAAAGAACCACAAATACTACAATACACTTTTGAAAACACTGCAATGTAGTGAACTCGACCTAAAATTTAGCCTATTCTTGTGACTCCATATTCATTATATTTTAATATTTCTTTTCTAGTGATATACCTGTAAACTAGCTGGTGAACTATTATAGTGCACCATCATAGCTAAGCGTATATTCACATTAAACGAGTATTGTATTGCATTGCATTGCATTGCATTGTTCATCAAAAACGCAAAGGAATACCTGCAATCCAGGGCTACCAGTTCTTCCTGATTTACCTCGTGCACCTTGGGCTCCCTGTGAAGGAAAGACATCAACTGAATGAATAACGAATCAAATTAACTGTTTTCCAGTTTTGTGAATATTTGATTCAATCCGTGAATTATCTACGATTGTACTTTGGAAAGAAACGACTTTGCATTATATCAGACTAATTTGTGCATACAGGTCTTTACACGCCAAGCCACGAAGTTACTGTACAAATGTTCCTCTTGAGAGACTCGCGCGGTACAGGTCCTTGAGTTTTAATATCATAATAAGAATCAAAGTGATACTGTGCCTCCTTAACATCTGACAGAGACAATTAACAATTTACATTTCAACATACCTTCGGTCCCGGTCTTCCAGTTTCACCAATTTCACCTGGGCTTCCCTGTATATTTCAAAGCCATTAAAACGTATAGTTACTAAAAAGCAACTCGCTCTGTTTCAATCCCTGATATTCTAGTGCCTCTAAAAATATGTCACGAAGAGCATATAAAGTGTATATTTTAAAATAACAATAATAGTATAAAATGTAAAGCACAAGTCTGAAATTCGAATATTTTGTTGGCGGCTATTTAAACCTTTCAAGATATCTCAAGATATTCCAAAACTGGTTATATTCATAACAAAAACAGAAATCTCTCTTTTTCTTGATGATTTATCACATAATTCATTTATACCAGTAGCGCTGATCACAGGTTCAGGATGGGGAAACTAGGGTTTGCGGTATTCAACAATTTGTCGTTCAGTCAGTAATATTAATCTTTAATTACGCTACGGCGGTATTTTTTTCTAAATTTTTGGCAGTACTGCAGTGTTCAGCAACAAACCCCTCCCCGCAGCGTCCCACTCATCAGTTGCTGGTTCCCAAGATGTCAAGCACCACCTCAACGCTCTTCACGTTTGGAGGAAACGAGCCAAGAACAACAATTTTAAAGAGATGTGGTGCTTGAGTTCTCTTGGAGTGATGAATTCGTTAGACATTAATCCAGTTTGCATTCAAGGTTATGATCGAGTCCCGTTTTGAATACTTAAATCGTCAGGTGAAGTTTGAAGCGACAAATGACATCAAATTTCAGTCAATGAAAGGGCTAATGACAATTATAAGTTCTACTGAAAAATTCAACCAATGTTGTTAAACAGACCTGATCTCCTTTTGCTCCTGGTAAACCATCAATGCCTGGTTTTCCTTGCTGGCCCTGTAATATAATGCTCTGATAAATATTTGGAAAGATGCAATATTGCAGTTTTCAACAATGACAACAATGCAACCAGGACAAAACCTAGCCAACTGTTGCCTTTAATTTTAACTCCATCCTGCATGCTTGAGACTAGAAGGCAAGCATTGATCTTCCCTTGTTTTCTTTTACTTTGATTTATTGTTATGACTAGCTTGACTTCGTTACTTTTCTTCGTAAAACCCACACAATTAAGCCTAACGAAGTGTTCTCTGCAAAAAAGTGCAAATAAACTTGCTTACCTTTACTCCTGCTCTTCCCTCTGCTCCTCTATACCCAGGATCTCCTTGGGAGCCCTTTGAGAAAAAACCCTGGTACTTAATCATGTGCACATTATCACACACATCGTAATAAACCTCTGTAATGCGGCAGACCCAGTGCTTGAAATAAGTAACGCGCGGACACCGGTAACATTGCCAAGAAAAAGAATTTTTGTTCGGACACAATCCGTTTTAGGCCGATGAAACATTGGAACATCAATTCTGAACACTAGCGATAGTAATCCCATATTAAGCAAGTCTCAAACTTATCTGTCTTGAAACACATCAAATAATTTCCAATGTAATTTCAAGCTACTTCAAAATTTTAAATTTTCTTTTACAAGTTCAAATGGCCAGACAAGATGATCAGCAACCCTGGAAACTGATCATGACTTATAAGTAGCCATCTCTGGCCGAATATTGACCATTGGCAGGCCGTAAGTTCAAGTCCTGTATAAGTGACAAGAATTATACATAAAAATATAAAAATAAATAACCTTTATTTACCATGAGCAGTGTTTATAGCACAAAGGCTAGTGGGGCCGAACAAACAACTGGAACAAATAATTCAAATTGAACATGACATTGTTAAGAATCCCAACTGGCCGGAGGCAAACCGGTTCGCTAGTTACAAGCGAGGACGAGGATTTGAATGCGGGGTTACTATGAAACAACAAATCCAGGTAGTAGTTAGAGCGGGACTCGAACCCAGGACCGCTGGATTACGAGTCCGACGCGCTGACCACTCGGGCACGCTGCCTCCTGGATTGAAGCATGTTTGACTAGTGTGATCAACCATAGTTAGTGGAGGGGACTAGTTAGTGGATCAACTGGTGAGTGTAGTCCCGCAAAGAACTGTTCTTGGTGACTAATGTTTCCACAAGCTGAGTGGAAGTCACCTTCAGAAACAAGTGAATAGTGTTCGTCAATGAATGGTGTTATAAAGCTGGTCCTTTGCAGCTAATTGGCCAATTTAGCCATGATAGTAAATTGCCTGTATGACTCATTGGAAGTTTGTCAACAGTCATTGGCCATTTGTCTGTAAGGTGCAGGTAGTTGCCGACATCTGATTAGAGGCGTTTGTGGTAAGTTAGTGTACCAGCTTTCCATAGTCAGTTGTTGAAAACAGTTTGTACTGTAGGTTGAGCATTGCGCAGAGTCCCAGTCAATTCTTCAGTTTGTAAGTTAACGTTCAGCAATGTGATTGCTGACATCACATCTCATCGCTCTTTTGCGTTCACCCAGGCTTCTCTCAAAGATGTAGGAAGCCTGGCAGTAGGAAGTATATATTATATGACTCATTACCGTTGGTCCTGGTTCACCAATTTTTCCACGTTTGCCTGGTTTTCCTTGTCTGCCCTAGGATAAATAAGCAAATCAAACTTTAGTTGAATGAGAAGTTGACCAGTTCTCAGTGCAAACGAATCCTACCCTTTTTCCAGCTAATCCTCGATCCCCTTGGGATCCTACAGGGCCAGCATCTCCCTGTGAAAAAGAAACAACAAATTAGTTTTCAGTGCAGGGAACACAAGTCATGTGAAGAGAAAAAATTTTCGCCGAAGTTTATTTTCGCCATATTTAATCAGTGTGTAAGACTTGACTTGTGTTACAACCTTGAAGCCACTTTTAAGTCCAATAAATTGCCATATGTGTGAAGAACACATGATTGGTCTATACAAGACATTTTTTTCAGCCAAAACGGGTGAATATCAGATGGTATACCCCAATGCAAGTGATATTACTCGGTTTTCAAAATTTGTATTTTACGTTCGCATGTTCAGTTTACATCCTAACTAAATTGTTAAACTAAAAAATACTAACCATTTTGAACAAATTAGCAATCTTTTTGACCGCCTTCCGAATTATTTGCGAAATTGACAGTTGTCGGTGTGCTTCGGTGGCAAAAGCTGCCATACAGCAGATATCAACGTCTGTAAATGTTGCAAATTTTGAATACAGCGTTTAGAGCACGTTTTCTTCAGATCAGTTCTTTTCAAATTTGGCGTAATAATCATAAATGAATACACAAATAAAAGAAATTTTATGTCTTCTTCGTAATTCTGAATTTTCAACAACTTTCGACACAGATTGGTATTAAATATTTAAAAAGACAATCAGAGTGCCTATTTTTAAGTACGAGCGAACGTGCGAACGAGTATAAACACCGCCAGGAGCCCATCACTAGGAACGTGCAACTACCCCATCCTGTCACGGCGTTTTCACAGACCGATCTATTCTAAATCTGAATTTACCGTGAACTCAGACCCCCGCAGGACCCTCAGTGACCAATCACAAGCACAGACTTAAAAATAGAGAGGGAATTTACATATTTTATCATTTTATTTTAACTATGTCGACATGTCCACGTATCGAGGCCGCCATTTTTTCCTTACCGATGCGCGCTCATGTAGACCGGAACTGACCTATTTCGCCGGAAAAGAAGCCTAAAAATAGACCAGTCTGTAAAAAAAGCCGTGACAGGCTTGGTATGGGAGTTGCACGCTCCTAGTGACGGGCTCCTGACACCGCACGAAATGCGTGACCTTCAGGGTTGGTATTGTAACAGTGGCAGGGTGTGTGCAATCTGGTGGTGTGACATCATATTGGTTGGAGATTTTTGACCCCGCCCTCCCCACCCCACTCCCTGACCAAATTAAGGTGGGACTTAACCTAAAAACACTTAAAAACACACCATGTTTCACACATTTTTTCGTGGCTAAGAGTTAACTCCAAACCCTGGCATAGTATACATTCTTAAAAAGCTCAAAGAGCAAAGATTATGAAAAAAATATTTGTGTACCCTATAACTGTATTGTAACCTGACACCGGCTGATTAAATCTGCCACCTGCTGGGGAATGCCAGGGCTTACTTGAGAAAAGATAACTCCTACTAGAACTGATCAAAAGGAATAGTTTTTACATTTTACAAAAGAAGACAAACAGCTTGCTGGGATAAGCACAGAGATTTTTGAAAAGTTAAAAGCACGTGAAATGATGACCAGTTGAATCTGATACAGAAAATCTAGCATACGTTTCAATACATAACTTTGACAGAATCCACTGGATGGAAAAGTTCTATGNCCGTGAACTCAGACCCCCGCAGGACCCTCAGTGACCAATCACAAGCACAGACTTAAAAATAGAGAGGGAAAGAAGCCTAAAAATAGACCAGTCTGTAAAAATGCCGCGACAGGCTTGGTATGGGAGTTGCACGCTCCTAGTGACGGGCTCCTGACACCGCACGAAATGCGTTACCTTCAGGGTTGGTATTGTAACAGTGGCAGGGTGTATGCAATCTGGTGGTGTGACATCATATCGGTTGGAGAATTTTGACCCCACCCTCCCCACCCCGCTCCCTGACCAAATTAAGTGACTTACCGCCGACCCCTTTGCACCTGCCGATCCTCGTTTTCCTGGTCGTCCTGGAGCTCCCTGTAGACATAAAAAAAACAGAAACGTGGCGCGCATGCCTAAACTTGAGGCTTTCGTTTGGTGGTGTTCGCATTCCCGTTGCCGTCGTGGTTTCCCTATTAGAGAGTTTAAGAAAATCTCAACGGCAACGAGAACGCCACCAAACAAAAGGCTTAGTGGGTGGAATAATGGCTGTGCACGTGCGTTTTAAATCTTTGTCCATTTCTTTGCCGTCCTCTGCAAAACAACAACTTGAAATTTTGGAGAACGCGAACGACGGAGGCTAATATATCGCATTGATATTTGGAATTAAATGCTGGCGCTACATACTTAGCTTGAGCAAGTTCTGAAACCAATAGGCGCACTGAACAGATCTAGACAATTGCGAAATTCGGAGGTGAAAAAAATATAAATTCATTTTTTACTAGGCGTTGTTCTTGGGGTCACCGCCGTCATTGCTTAAGCTCGCTATCGAAGCTTTTTGGCCAACTAGGGCACCTCATGAAGACAGTATTCTAGCTAAGACTCTTGACTTCTGATTCCAAAGTAGAATGCACAAATGCACTTAATTCCCGTTAATTTCTCCGATTTCCAAGGATATGCTCAGAGGTGTCCGAGATTCCATCTGACGTAACTTAATTGTTGCTTAGTTTTGAGTTTTTGCATGCAAATGCATGTACACAACACGGATCAGTGGCACCATCACGGGTTTTTGGTCAAATCTGCAATGTGCTTCTCACATAGGAAGAATTAGACACGTGCACTCTAAAAGGCGTCTATTTCTCAGACTAAGACAAAACACACGTTAACATGGATCTAAATAGTACATATTAAAAACAATACTAATTACCGCTTCTCCCTGCCTCCCATCTTGTCCAGGTAAGCCAGGATTTCCCTACAAAGATATCAAGCGAGAGAGTATAGGGTTTGCCTTTATAATGTTGCATTTAAAGTAAATCCAATCTAATGTTACACTGAAATGGTAAATCTATAATAATTATTTTAAGACTGTTAAGGTCTTCTTATAAATTATGTTTTTCAAGTGACACCTTTGAAAGCTGGTCTGGGCTGCATCGAAGTTTGGATATAATAAAGAAGATGACTGTCGTGACGTACATAAACCATTAGCTCTTACCAGTCTCCTATAACCCAGTGCCGGGTTGTTCAAAGCACGATTCAGCTAATCCAGGATTAGCGTAAATTTTTACTTCAATTTTGTATTTTTTCAGTGAAGGTTTCTGTTTAAATTTTTTTTGTCCTTCAATTTTGGCTTTGACCAATGTCAAACTCCAGGAAACATGAACAGTGAAAACACTTTTATTCAAGAGAAATAAGAACTTTGATTAACTTTTAATCCTGGATTAGCGTAAATCGGCTTTCAAACAACCGGGCCCAGTTGCTTGCATCCCTGACTTCATCAATGATTCAATGATAAAACAAAGCTGATAATCCGGTAGTAAAAAGGTTTGTGCAGACAAACATATTTAGCATATGCATGTACACATACTGCTGCCGCTTGACATTAATGTTCTCTGAAAATTTTAGACATTTGTTTCCGCATTTCTGCGTGTCACAAGGTTTCATTTGATTTGAGCCATTGAACTGAACAAGGACTAGAAATTGAATTTGAAGTACATACGGGTGTTCCCTCTTTTCCAGGGTCACCTGGAGGTCCCATAGGTCCTGGAATGCCCTGCAAAAAAGTTTCCATTAATTACATGTCCATGTACTTTTTTAATCTAAGTATTTGTCTTTTGCATATCTGTCTGCTCCTGGCATTGCGCGCGCTGGTATTACGATTTGACTGCTGTTTTAGCTTTCATTTTTGTACCCAGTCCTCTCCAGCTAATTACAGGTAATGAACAATGAAGAAATAGTGTTTTACTATCATCTCTGTTAAAATTTTGGCTTTTAGTCTTGAATCATAGATGTCCAAACAAATGGGATATTTTTACCGTTTACATGGCTGTATTTGTGATTTCTTGAATTTCCCGTTTCGTGAAATCTTCTACAATTTTCACAGTACATCACATCCAGCGTGATACGAGTTTTAAACACGAAAACAGTAGAGTTTGTGCAGGCAGTTTATTCGATTTTTGCAAATTTATGTCTTTTACCGCTGCGGAAAAACTGGTCAAATCGATTTCCCTGAAAAACGAGCTCCAACTAAAGCAAAACATTTATTACCCGTCTGCCAAATTTTAAGGAATTTCACAGAAGGAAACCTGGGAAAATTCATTGTCAGTTTTGCTTTTTGTGCCCATGTTGACATCATAAAATATCGAAAACCACTCACGTTTTCCTTCGAGAGCGCAGAGATGACTTATTTATAAGCTTTTGTTCTCAGCGCGCGTGCTATCGTAAAGCTATAGGGAGCCACTTTAAGCCTGTATGCCTCTATGTCTGCTCATCCATCAAGGCCATAAAGAAAATCACAACCGTGTAGGAGGTTAGGATACCCGGTCTTAATTAGGATAGATTTTGAGGATTTTACTTCTCCGTTTACTCCTTAGTTTTGGTTCGATTGAGAAGATATATCAAACACTCGAGACAGTGTTTCATCAAGTATCCAACACCTCCAATTTCGTCAAAATTACTCCGCTGCGCGTTGTATTTTCAACTCTCTTCTCGGTGTTTGGATATCCCGATGAAACACTCTCTCGTGTTTGATATATTACATCCAAACATCACTTTCATCCCCATAACACTTTGTCACAAGGTGCAAATAGATGGGTTCCAGAAGTGATAGCGTGATCATTACAGTGCAATGAGCACTAAATAAAAAAAGATAAATAAAAAGATATATATAAACGAAATACATCAGTGAGTTCAAGATTCTAGAGATTTGGAGATTAAATGTTTTCTTAAACAATGTTTGAAGTCCTTTCGTGAGGGATTTAACTTTAACGCAGAGTCTAAGGAATTCCAAATTTTAACAGTTCTGTAGATGCTTAATAAGACAGACAGACAGACAGAAAGACAGACAGACAGTGAGTCTCACTGGTAATCACTCTGGATGTTTAAGAATGGGGGAGACATGGCCGTACTTCCCTGTGTTACTGATGATGCGGCCGCAAAATTCTGCACAGTTTGAATCCTATTCAGGTTATCCTCAGTGGTGTTGCTCCAAACATTACAACAATAGAATAACTTATACGAAGTCCACCAAAAATGAAAATGTGGTAAAATATTGTCACAGTGTTTGATATAATTATCTTCTCAATCTAAAACTAAACAACCACTACAGCTTGAATTACCGTGTCACCCTTGTAGCCTGA